TGCTTTTTCGTTGCCATGCAACACGCGAAGAAACTTCTCACCAAGAAGTTTTGGAATCTGCGGACCAATAAACACTCCCTCGCTTAATTTAGCTTCACTCGGTCTTGGAGATTTGTTGATGAGATATTTGAAAAACCTTCTCTGTTGTCTCCCTTTTTAATGAGACCCAGCCTTATGTGTAAGGGTGGCAACAAAATCTTGTTTGTGTCAACACGTGCTGGGTTCTCAACGTACATAGTGCCAGGCTGCAATGAATACTTTATTGGCCAATGTCTTCTGATGTAATGGTCACTTCCTGCACAGTTATTCCATTCACAGAGAAAGCATTAGTCCTTGTATATCCATCCTGTAGTCCACGCAAAAGAGCGACCATTTTTAAGTCACCTGAAAGTGACGAATGCTGATGATCATAGTGTATACACTTCAAACGCTGCTTAATGTTTTCATAAGTTTCTTTCATATCAACTGGAATTGAGACTAACAAATTATCATGGCCGTGTACCATACTTCCCAAAACGCAGTGAGAACACCAAAAGGCATTTCTGATATGTTTACAATCAATACAGGGGTGAGGCAAGGATGTGTGCTCTCTAGTATATTATTTACAATTTATATAGACAAAATATCAAAAGAAGCCAGCTTTAGAGTAGTCGACCGAGAAAATCCAGAAAAAGAGCACTTTTACTTTCCAGATGAAGAAAAATTAGATCCATGTGCAATACAGGAGCTACTATTTGCAGACGATCAGTGCCTGTTCTACAATAAAGGAAGTAGAAAACGAACTGAAGTGAAATCAAGAGGCCGTCCAAGGAGAACATGGACTGATGAAAATAAAGATCCTTTACATCGATTTTGGATGACAATAGCTATTGCTGCCGTCAAGCAACGGACTGCAAACCATCCCTAAACGGCAAAAGTAGAAATGGATGCTAATGATGATAACACGTTACTATTATTCAGTAAAACAGTCTTCATGCTTGTCTTGGGGGAATCAGTACGAAGCCTCCACTACATCCGGATTGTAACTGATTTCCAGAGCCGCCATTAAACCAGTAACCACTTTCAAAATCACTGGGACTTCAAACTGCAACGCTTGTCTTTGTCCAGTCAACCAGTTAAAGATGTGTTGCACATGGGCCAGTTAACCAGTTAAAGATGTGTTGCACATGTGCCAGTTAACTAGTTGAAGCTGTGTTCTATATGTGATAGTTAACTAGTTGAAGATGTGTTGCACATGTGCCAGTCAACCAGTTAAAGATGTGTTGCACATGTGCCAGTTAACCAGTTAAAGATGTGTTGCACATGTGCCAGTTAACTAGTTGAAGCTGTGTTCTATATGTGATAGTTAACTAGTTGAAGATGTGTTGCACATGTGCCAGTCAATCAGTTGAAGATGTGTTGCACATGTGTTGCACTGAAAGCGTTGAATCTGGGACAGTCTTGAAAGATGTGATCTGTTGTTTCAGGTGCCAGTCCACAAGTACTCATGGCTGATTGGAAAATCTTATATTTTTTGTACATGTGGCAGCGAAGTCGATTGTGCCCTGTTCTAAGGCGAAGGATAATGACTTGCTCTGGTCTGTCCATAATATGGTCCTCATCTTGTGCCAGTTTCGGTGGCATTCTGATTGATTTGATCATTCTCTTCTTCTGTTGATAAGAGACTGGTATGTCAGGTTGTTCTTCAGTTGCACCTTACTTAGCTAGTTTATCAGCTCTTTCGTTTTCGGGAACTCCACAGTAGGAAGGTATCCACTGCATTACTAAATTGCAACGGTTGCCTAGTTGGGATAATAGTTTCCGTATGCTTGGTAATTTTCCATACTGGAGTGACTGAAGTACTGCTTTTGCATCTGTCAGGAATACCACTGGTTGTGAAAAATACCCTGTATTTAGTAGTTTCTCTGCCGCTATCTTGATGGCTTGAACTTCTGCATCATAGTTGTGACAGTGCTTTCCTGTTGGTATTTTGGCTGTATCCTCGGTATTATTAGGATACTCAATGTACACTCCTGCACCTCCGTTTCTGACTGCGCTTTCTGCTGACCCATCTGTGTAAACAAGGACCCAAAGATTCTGTGGGTATTCATCATCAAGTAGACTGAGGGTGGCTGTTTTGCGCTGCACACTGTTTTGTTCTTCCTTGTCAAATACCCCTTTCACTTCAGTCTTGATGTGTATTGGAAACTTATACTCCTCTCTCAAGGGGGTCAGTTCTTGGACAGCATTTAAGGATCTATCAGTTGCAGGTAAATCATTGGTTTGTCTGCCGAGCCGTTTGGCCTGTGGGATAAAACTACTTCTCTTTAGTCGTCCCAAAGCTAAATTTTGGAATCTTTCATTCATAGTGTGACTGGGCATACTAAGAAACTTTTCTGCTTGTAAAAGCATCTTGGTGTCTCTGCGTTCACTCAGTGCTTGGGTCATCCCCCTTTCATCCATCACAACTATAGGTGTTGATTTCATACTGCCTGTGGTAACTCTGAGTGCTTGATTTTGCACTTTGTCTAATTCTTGCAATGTGGTTTTTGATGCCGAACTCCATGCTGTTGATCCGTATTCAAGATGTGGTCGAACACTTTGTTGGTAAACTTTCCTAAGTATTTTCCTGCTAGCACCCCATGTGGTTCCACTTAGTTTTCTCAGAATGGCTACCCTCCTTCTGGCTTTGGTTGCTGCCTTGTTGATGTGTTTTCTCCATGTTAACCTATCATGACACGTTACTCCGAGGTATGTGGGTTCCTTATCCTCTCTCAGGGGTACTCCATTTATGTGTATGACGCATGATTTTTGTTTGGGAGAAAGGGTAAAGAGGGTGGTGCTGCATTTGCCTATGTTGATGCTGACACACCATTTGTCGGCCCATTTAGCCATTGCATCTATGAGTTGAAGATGTGTTATACATGTGCCAGTCAACCAGTTGAAGATGTTTTGCACATGTGCCAGTCAAACAGTTAAAGACGTGTTGCACATGTGCCAGTCAAAATGTTGCATATGTGTTGCATATGTGCCAGTCAACCAGTCGGAGATGTGTTGCACATGTGCCAGTCAACCAGTCGGAGATGTGTTGCACAGGTGCCAGTTAACCAGTCGGAGATGTGTTGCACATATGCCAGTCAACCAGTCAGAGATGTGTTGCACATGTGCCAGTCAACCCGTTGAAGATGTGTTGCACATGTGCCAGTCAATCAGTTGAAGATGTATTGCACTTGTGCCAGTCAAACAGTCGAAGATGTGTTGCACATGTGCCAGTCAACCAGTTGAAGATGTATTGCACACGTATTGCAGTATTGCATGGCGCCCGGCTCTTATCTTGAAATTCTATTCTGCAGCTAAAATACGAACTGTGGCTTCCCTAATCACTTTGATTATAATTCGTGTTGGTGAAGAAAATGTCACCTCATCAGATATCTAACAAAAAATATTAGCGCTGCTTACACACATCTTCGGCCTTCCTAACTATGACACTGTTGATAAGGACAAATGCAGTAACTAATGACACAATTTGATCAGAGATACGATATTTATTCGTTAAATATGATGTAAGCAAAGGTAGGATTGCAATGTTAACTTCTAGTAACTATTTTTTTTTTTAATTATTGGAAAAACACTTAGGCAGTTGTCCAGAACAGTTGTGTCATACATGTTTATTGGCCTTAATTGGATAAACTAATATCTAGAAAACCAGAGCCAATTACTTTTTTTTTTCAATATCAGCGGGGGGGGGGGGGGGGGGGGGGGGGGGGGGGGGGGGGGGGGGGGGGGGGGGGGGGGGGGGGGGGGGGGGGGGGGGGGGGGGGGGGGGGGGGGGGGGGGGGGGGGGGGGGGGGGGGGGGGGGGGGGGGGGGGGGGGGGGGGGGGGGGGGGGGTGGGGGGGGGTGTGTGTGGGGGGGGGGGGCGGGGGGGGGGGGGGGGGGGGGGGGGAAACTTTTCTTTTCTAAAACACATTTTCTTCTGGGAAGTTCGATCGGAAGTTTGTTTAGTAGGTCATTCTCATCCGTCATTATTTCTTCTATTCGTGTGAGTGTGTATCAGCGCCCTGATCGCTGCTCCCAGATTATCAAATGTGTGTGCTGTCCCTGATCGTGTGTCCCATATCATCAAATGTGTGTGTTGTTCTATTGACCTCAGATTACCAAATGTGTGTATTGTTCTATTGACCTCAGATCACCAAATGTGTGTATTGTTCTATTGACCTCAGATCACCAAATGTGTGTGCTGTCCCTGATCGTATGTTCCAGATCACCAAATGTGTGTATTGTTCTATTGACCTCAGATCACCAAATGTGTATTGTTCTATTGATCTCAGATCACCAAATGTGTGTGCTGTCCCTGATCGTATGTTCCAGATCACCAAATGTGTGTATTGTTCTATTGATCTCAGATCACCAAATGTGTGTGCTGTCCCTGATCGTATGTTCCAGATCACCAAATGTGTGTGTTGTTCTATTGACCTCAGATCACCAAAAGTGTGTATTGTTCTATTGACCTCAGATCACCAAATGTGTGTGCTGTCCCTGATCGTATGTCCCAGATCACAAAATTGTGTTGTGTCTGATTGTGTGTCCCAGATCACCAAATCTGTGTGTTGTTCTATTGACCTCAGATCACCAAATGTGTGAATTGTTCTATTGACCTCAGATCACCAAATGTGTGAATTGTTCTATTGACCTCAGATCACCAAATGTGTGTGCTGTCCCTGATCGTATGTCCCAGATCACAAAATTGTGTTGTGTCTGATTGTGTGTCCCAGATCACCAAATATGTGTTTTGTTCTATTGACCTCAGATAGCCAAATGTGTGTATTGTTCTGTTAAGCTCAGATCACTAAATGTGTGTGTTGTTCTGTTGACCTCAGATCACCAGATAGGTGTGTTGTTCTATTGACCTCAGATCACCAGATGTGTGTGTGTTGTTCTATTGACCTCAGATCACCAAACGTGTGTGTTGTTCTAATGACCTCAGATCACCAAATGTGTGTATTGTTCTATTGACCTCAGATTCTAACACCGAGGAATGCGTCACTGACCACTGTGATGGCAAACCCGATGGAAACTACCCAACATGCACCAGGCAATGTGAAGCCGGCTTTTACTTTACATGCTCAAATGAAATCCTTCATAGAAGGTAAGACTGTGTAATGTAATGTTGTGAAATTTAAAGTTAAGTTATTCAGGATTGTGTAATACACTACTGTGCAACGCAATACTGATATCTTGAAGAATCGATTATAACATTTCCTGAAGCCATTAAGTAGTGTGATCTAACTAATGAATCATATACATATTCCCCCGTGTGGGTTCCGGGGCCCCATTGTGGGGAAATCAAGAATAGACCCACTGCCTCTCCAAAAGCATGTCGTAAGAGTCGACTAATTGGGGAGCTTCCTTTGAAGTCGGAGTGCATCTGCCGGAGAGGCAAGGAACCAACAGTCTGTATTCAAGAGAATGAGATTTGTAAATCTGATGCACACGCAACACTCAGGTTCTGGAGCAGGACTGCAGTTCAGTAGTGGACGAGCAACCAGAACTTTCCGCCAGAGTGTACAGCTGGTGAACGCGAAGAAGAAGAAGAAGAAGAAGAAGAAGAAGAAGAAGAAGAAGAAGAAGAAGAAGAAGAAGAAGAAGAAGAAGAAGAAGAAGAAGAAGAAGAAGAAGAAGAAGAAGAAGAAGAAGAAGAAGAAGAAGAAGAATATACATATTGAGCTGTTTTAACTGATTTCGCCTATGAGGATGGGGGTTGGGGGAGGGGGGGATGGGGTGCAGGGGTTTAAATATAATCAGCACAGCCTTATGCAGTTATTCGTGCACAGATCCCGGTTGTCCTGTCTGCTGTGTCCAGAGGATAGATTTTAATTATACGGCAGATTGTTAGGATGACCGCCTTGTGCATCTTATGCGTGTGCCTGCTGTTGACTTTGGCGGGACAGCAGTTTCTTTAATTTTTCAATAGGGACAGGAATATCCAAAATGTGTGTGCCAATTATGAGGTGAACCTTCTGCTGTTTTGCTGAAACGTTTTAGATTCAAAACATGCATTTTGTTAACCTTTTTTTTTTTAATGAGTCCATTCTTTTACAGTTCATCTTCAGGTTATCATAAGCTATGAAAAAAAAAAAATTAAATTTGGACCTACATTAGTAGAAGAGATGCAGCTTAAATTAAAAAAAATTCCGAAAACAAATCTTTCAACACATCATAGATGCAGGGGGGGGGGGGGGGGGGGGGGGGGGAGAGGGGGGGGGGGGAGTTGGGGTGTGGAGATTGAAAGGCTACAATGAAATTAATAATCTGTTTAAGTCCCCATTGATCACTGGCAACGAGAGGGCTAACACGCTGAGATCGCTGGGGCATACTGAGCGAATGTCAGTTGACAGAGAGGTTGTTGTTGTTGTTGTTATTATCGATCCAGCGGCGCATGAGCTTTCGCCCTTTGGCCCAATGATAGAGAGGTAACAACTGTGTACAGAAGTGGCCGTAGACCACCATGGATACCAAGAAGACGTAGATAATATCCAGACAAACATAGAAACACTTGGTATCACCAACTGGAAAGAAAGGACGAAACAAGACAAATGAATGGAGGGGAGTGATATCTGCAGCAACGACCCTCCAACGCTCTGAATACTGAAGACGAAGCAAAAGAACTGCATAAGGACTGATTCATAGGTAGGATTTCACTGCAACACATAACACAAACAATGAAGGTTATTGAAACTGTAAAGAACAAGTATGTGTCCCTACTACAGGATGTGCCCCAAGGGCTGGTACACGGCTCTCAACGGGACCCGGTACACAGCTCCCATGTTGTATGTTCCTGAGGTCGATTCCTGCCAGCTTGAGGCCAGCTACTGCACAGTAAGTGCACAGTGCCTTTACTTTAACTGTTACTGTTCAAGTGTGCACAGTACCTTTACTTTAACTGTTATTGTTCAAGTGTGCACGGTGTCTTTACTTTAACTGTTACTTTTCAAGTGTGAACAGTGTCTTTACTTTAACTGTTACTGTTCAAGTGTGCACGGTGTCTTTACTTTAACTGTTACTGTTGAAGTGTGCACAGTGCCTTTTCTTTAACTGTTACTGTTCCAAGTGTGCACAGTGCCTTTACTTTAACTGTTACTGTTCCAAGTGTGCACAGTGCCTTTATTTTAACTGTTACTGTTTAAGTGTGCACAGTGCCTTTACTTTAACTGTTACTGTTCCAAGTGTGCACAGTGCCTTTACTTTAACTGTTACTGTTTAAGTGTGCACAGTGCCTTTACTTTAACTGTTACTGTTGAAGTATGCACATTCCTTTACTTTAACTGTTACTGTTTAAGTGTGCACAGTGCCTTTACTTTAACTGTTACTGTTGAAGTGTGCACAGTCTTTTACTTTAACTGTTACTGTTTAAGTGTGCACAGTGCCTTTACTTTAACTGTTACTGTTTAAGTGTGCCCAGTGCCTTTACTCTAACTGTTACTGTTCAAGTGTGCACAGTGCCTTTACTTTAACTGTTACTGTTCAAGTGTGCACAGTGCCTTTACTTTAACTGTTACTGTTCAAGTGTGCACAGAGCCTTTACTTTAACTGTTACTGTTCCAAGTGTGCACAGTGCCTTTACTTTAACTGTTACTGTTCAAGTATGCATAGTATTTTTACTTTAACTGTTACTGTTGAAGTGTGCACAGTGCCTTTACTTTAACTGTTACTGTTGAAGTGTGCACAGTATTTTTACTTAAACTGTTACTGTTTAAGTGTGCACAGTGCCTTTTTTTAAACTGTTACTGTTTAAGTGTGCACAGTGCCTTTACTTTAACTGTTACTGTTCCAAGTGTGCACAGTGCCTTTACTTTAAATGTTACTGTTTAAGTGTGCACAGTGCCTTTACTTTAACTGTTACTGTTGAAGTGTGCACAGTGCCTTTACTTTAACTGTTACTGTTCAAGTATGCACAGTATTTTTACTGTTACTGTTACTGTTGAAGTGTGCACAGTGTCTTTACTTTAACTGTTACTGTTGAAGTGTGCACAGTCCTTTACTTTAACTGTTACTGTTTAAGTGTGCACAGTGCCTTTACTTTAATTGTTACTGTTCAAGTTTGCACAGTGTCTTTACTTTAACTGTTACTGTTGAAGTGTGCACAGTCCTTTACTTTAACTGTTACTGTTGAAGTGTGCACAGTGCCTTTACTTTAACTGTTACTGTTCAAGTGTGCACAGTATTTTTACTTTAACTGTTACTGTTGAAGTGTGCACAGTGCCTTTACTTTAACTGTTACTGTTGAAGTGTGCACAGTATTTTTACTTAAACTGTTACTGTTTAAGTGTGCACAGTGCCTTTTTTTAAACTGTTACTGTTTAAGTGTGCACAGTGCCTTTACTTTAACTGTTACTGTTCCAAGTGTGCACAGTGCCTTTACTTTAAATGTTACTGTTTAAGTGTGCACAGTGCCTTTACTTTAACTGTTACTGTTGAAGTGTGCACAGTGCCTTTACTTTAACTGTTACTGTTCAAGTATGCACAGTATTTTTACTGTTACTGTTACTGTTGAAGTGTGCACAGTGTCTTTACTTTAACTGTTACTGTTGAAGTGTGCACAGTCCTTTACTTTAACTGTTACTGTTTAAGTGTGCACAGTGCCTTTACTTTAATTGTTACTGTTCAAGTTTGCACAGTGTCTTTACTTTAACTGTTACTGTTGAAGTGTGCACAGTCCTTTACTTTAACTGTTACTGTTGAAGTGTGCACAGTGCCTTTACTTTAACTGTTACTGTTCAAGTGTGCACAGTATTTTTACTTTAACTGTTACTGTTGAAGTGTGCACAGTGCCTTTACTTTAACTGTTACTGTTCCAAGTGTGCACAGTGCCTTTACTTTAACTGTTACTGTTTAAGTGTGCACAGTGCCTTTACTTTAACTGTTACTGTTTAAGTGTGCGCAGTGCCTTTACTCTAACTGTTACTGTTCAAGTGTGCACAGTGCCTTTACTTTAACTGTTACTGTTCAAGTCTGCACAGTGCCTTTATTTTAACTGTTACTGTTTAAGTGTGCACAGTGTCTTTACTTTAACTGTTACTGTTCAAGTGTGCACAGTGCCTTTACTTTAACTGTTACTGTTCAAGTGTGCACAGAGCCTTTACTTTAACTGTTACTGTTCAAGTGTGCACAGTGCCTTTACTTTAACTGTTACTGTTCAAGTACTATCAAAAAAAAAAAAGACTATCCTCTCTCTGTCTCTCTCTCCTATATCTCCTTTATATCTCCTCTCTCTCTCGCTCATGCACACTGTCTCGCCATCTGACTTACCTTTCTACAGTTTCTTTGTGGAATCCTTTTCCTTCATCGGGTGTTTATAATCATTAGACATCGTCATCATTGTCAGTATAATCATCATTATCATCAACATCATCATCTTCGCCGTCATTCTTATCATTCTTGTATGTGCCCCTGTGAATGCTGAAACCCCAAATATATGATTTCTGCCCGTGTGGGTTCCGGGACCTCACTAGTGGGGGAACAGGAATAGACCCACTGCCTCCCTAAAAAGCATGTCGTAGGTGTCGACTGATTAGGGCTTCATTAAAAGAATAAGTACATCTGCCTGAGACACAAGGAACCAAAAGTCTGTATAGTCTGTATACAAATAAGCTAGATCAGTGAAACGAGTGTGCACGGAGCACTTACTTTCTGGAGCAAGACTCAAGTCTGGATGTGGACGAACACTCAGAACTTTCTACCAAAGTTTACGGCCGCTAAACGAGTAGAAGAAGAAGAAGATATGACACCTATCTAAATTTGATAAACCAAATTAGTCTTAATAATGTGGGGGACCACGACTTGCCTGGCCACATACAAGATATGTGCATGTGGGGGACCACGACTTGCCTCACCTCATACAAGATATGTGCATGCGGGGGACCACGTCTTGCCTCACCTCATACAAGATATGTGCATGTGGGGGACCACGACATGCCTGGCCACATACAAGATTTGTGCATGTCAGAGACCACGGCTTGCCTCACCTCATACAAGATATGTGCATGTGGGGGACCACGACTTGCCTCACCTCATACAAGATATGTGCATGTGGGGGACCACGACTTGCCTCACCTCATACAAGATATGTGCATGTGGGGGACCACGACTTGCCTGACCACATACAAGATATGTGCATGTCGGAGACCACGGCATGCCTGGCCACATACAAGATATACATGAAAGTGTGGAGGCCATTCTCGTACTTTGTTGTCTGGCCATAAACAAGATATACATGACAGTGTGGAGCCATTCTCGAGCTTTACTTGTCTGGCCATATACAAGATATACATGACAGTGTGGAACCATTCTCGTACTTTACTTGTCTGGCCATATACAAGCTATCCTCGTACTTTACTTGTTTGGCCATATATAAAATATACATGACAGTGTGGAGCCATTCTGCTACTTTACTTGTCTGGCCACTTACAAGATATACGTGAAAGTGTGGAGCCATTCTCGTACTTTACTTGCCTGGCCACATGCAAGATATACATGAAAGTGTGGCGCCATTCTCGTACTTTGTTGTCTGGTCATATACAAGATATATATGAAAGTGTGGAGGCCATTCTCGTACTTTGTTGTCTGGCCACATACAAGATATACATGAAAGTGTGGAGTCATTCTCGTTTTTTGTTGTCTGGCCACATACAAGTTATACATGAAAGTGTGGAGTCATTCTCGTACTTTGTTGTCTTGCCATATACAAGATATACATGAAAGTGTGGAGCCATTCTTGTACTTTACTTGTCTGGCCATATACAAGATATACATGAAAGTGTGGAGCCATTCTCGTACTTTACTTGTCTGGCCATTTACAAGATATACATGAAAGTGTGGAGCCATTCTCGTACTTTACTTGTCTGGCCATATACAAGATATACATGAAAGTGTGGCGCCATTCTCGTACTTCATTGTCTGGCCACATACAAGATATACATGAAAGTGTGGAGGCCATTCTCGTACTTTGTTGTAGTACAGTGTTTATTTGAATGTACACATCCTAGTCCTACATTATATACAGTACATCTAGACAGACAGACAGACAGACAGACAGACAGACAGACAGACAGACAGACAGACAGACAGACAGACAGACAGACAGACAGACAGACAGACAGACGGACGGACGGACGGACAGAGAGACAGACAGTCAGGCACTCAACACATTTTCCCCTACTCCCCTCCCCCATCCAAACTCACACGAGTGTGTAATCACAATATCGCTCTGTTAATTTCCACTTTAATCCAGGTCAACAGACTCTTGTAGATGGCAGCCTGACATGTTCACACAGCTAGTGGTCATCATTGAGACAATGGCTCCTACATGATCAGCTAGTGGTCATTATTGAGACAGTGGCTCCTACATGATCAGCTAGTGGTCATTATTGAGACAATGGCTCCTACATGATCAGCTAGTGGTCATTATTGAGACAATGGCTCCTACATGATCAGCTAGTGGTCATTATTGAGACAATGGCTCCTACATGATCAGCTAGTGTGTCGTCTGCAATAAAGAGTCTATATTTACATGCTCACAATGTGTTGTCGTTTTTTTTTTTTTTTTTGGTCCCCGTTCTCCTTGTTTTCTTTTACTTCTTCGTCTTTTCCCAGTTCTTCTTCTCCTTACTGCTTCTCTTCCTCCTTTTGTTGTCCTCAGTTTTATGCAGAAGGAAAAAGATGTACCCCACTCTAGTAACATTCATACCCATTTCGCATTAGATTCTAAGTCCTCAGATGAAGGAAAAAAAAATGTTAAATAATGTCCTCAAACTGGCCCCGCCCAAGATTGTCCTCTCTTTAACCTGCTGCCCTTCTTCCTTCCTTGGCACCGTTTCGCAGATACGCACGTGCTCAGCAGATCGCAGATCACTGCTCTCACTTATGTGGTTGGAAGATGCATTCAAGTATGTTGCGCATAGCCTCCTTCTGTCAGAATCGCCAGAGCACACTCAATTACAGAAAGGATCAGATCCTAGATTAAACACGAAATAAGGGAAGTAGCTCACATTTTGTTGCTGTGACATTCAAACCTTCCTTTGCCTTCATTATCACGTGGCTGATATGCTTAAAAAGCAAGGCTACAATCAAAGTACACTCCTACATACTATAAGAAGAAACTCCACAGGGGAGCATGTACAGCAGGAGTCTACCAATCATCAGTAGAAGTAATCTCTTGTCGACAAATGTTTCGGCCCACGAGCTCCTAGACATTTTCAGAGAGTGGGCCACCTGAGTTCATAAATAAAGCTCAGGGTTGGTTTCCCCCTGCTGCACGTATTACCGTATGTTATTCGGACAGGGACAAGACGAAATGGTTGCAAAAGGTACTGTGAGATAAGAAGTCGTTGCGGTAGCATAATTAAAGCAGTCTGCATACCTGGACGACCGAGTGGCGTTTGGTTTACCGGACACATGTTGGACTTAGTTGGCAGGTAGCAGAGGGACACTGGCGGACAATTTGGACACGATAAACTTTTAATGGATAAGACATTCTTTTCCACTAGACACCTATACTTAACTGAACCAGTCCTCTCCATATCTCTGAACACAGACTTACAGTTGGTGTGCTTATAATGTGGTAATTTAGCAAATGACGACACAGTTGACTTTCACACATTGACGACCCTTCCCGATTTCAAGCACCACCTCAAAACGATTGCTGCCATATTTTCAAAACATTTTTTTTTAAATTTTTACCTAAATAATTTTTTTAATGTTTATTTGATTTCTTATTTTTATTTTATTATATCTCCTATCAGTACTAGTTCATCATCATCATCATCATCATCATAAACCACTTCTGCCGTTAAGTGTCGTGGGAAGGAATAATTCGCGATCCAGTGCACGTTGGCTTCCACTGGCTATTGTCATGCCGTGAATGCGTAGAGTGTCTCTAATGTTGTCGATCCATGTTTTCCGTGACCGTCCTCTTGCTCTTGTAGCTGATCTTCGGAGATGCAGTGCTTGTGATGGTATTTGATCTTGCTGCATTCTAACGAGATGGCCAAACCACTTGATCTGCTGTTTCTCGATGAATCTAGTACAGGGTGTCGTTCCCACAATTTACCTGATAGTTCCATTATTCACTCGATCTCAGATGGTTTGGTTGGCTGCTTTTCTCAGGCACCTCATCTCGCAGGTGGTAATTTTGCGTATATGGGCTTTAGATAGTGTCCATGTTTGGCACTGGTAGCTTAATGTTGGAATAAATTTGCTATTAATAATCTATCTCTTTGCACTCATAATTATGCTTGAATGTCTTAATAAATGTGACAATTGGTATATAAATGCACTTGCTTTCTGACATCTGGTTTCTATTTCTCTGTCAATTCTAACATCTTCTGTGATCATACTTCCTAGATATTTAATAAACTCCCTAATTTGATTCAGGGCAGAACCATTCAGCTGTATGTGTAGTGGGGCAGAATGTCTACTAACTTGCATTGTTTCGGTTTTGTTTACATTGATCTTCATGTTGTATTTACTACATGCTGAGTTTAACCTGTTAATGTGGTCTTGCAGTCTATGTTCTTCGGGGTAGAACAAGCACTGGTCGTCAGCAATTAGTAGTTCGTTTAATGTGGGTGAATCGATTACTTCTCCTAATGTATGCACTTCCTCGTGATTATAAAGGTATATGCTGTCTTTATCAAAACTTGCTTTTTTAGATCTTCTGTCTATTTCGATGTTAAATAAAAGCGGGAAGAGCACATATCCCTGTCTCACACCTGTGTTGACTGTGAACGTATCTGATATGCCTTCTTGTGTTTTTACTGCACTTTGGCTTGTGTGGTACATGGCTATGATGTTCTCTAGTAACTGTCCTTGTACCCCGTAGTTCTCAAGAACAGACCACAGTTTGTGTCTATCCACTCTATCAAAAGCTTTTTCCTGATCTATAAACACAATATTCTGTTTGGTATTATACTCAATGGCTTTCTCACACACTTGCCTCAGAGTGAATAATGCATCTGTGCATCCTCTGCCTTTTCTGAAACCAAATTGTGATGCACTCAGCTGTTGTTCTGCTATGGGTCTAACTCTCTGTTCAAGTAATTTGGCGTACATTTTTCCTACGTGAGTCAGTAGTGATATACCTCTGTATGCTTTACATTCTCTCCTATTACCTTTCTTTTTCCATATCGGTACTATTAATGCCTGTTGCCACTCAGCTGGGACCTTTCTTTCTTCCCAAGCTATATTAAAAATTATAGTAAGCTTTTTAACACTCACTTCTCCGCAACAGTACTAGTGTATGGCTCATAAACATTCGTATTTCTACTACTCTTTTATTCCTTCTATTATTATACTATTAAGCTACCGGACGTAAATTTGCTTAGAGAAACCACACAACAGCCAGGGGCTGCTGGGGTTGGTTCTGCAACGTCCTGTAAAGGATACGCAACTAACCTTTTATACACTTATATTATCCCTATTACTTTTTACCCCCTATTGATTTTTTTTCGAGCTTTCCTGCATACTATTATATTTTATTCATTCCGATTACTTCCGGTTCAGTGGCGGCGAACAGTTGTGTTTTTGTTTTCGTAATTGCTTCATTTTCACGTTTATGCGTGCATTGTTTTGTGATGAGATGTAATCAGACGTCTTCCTTTTTTCTCAAAAATGTCGCAGGTGCTACGGAGTTCGTGCATCTGAGCGAAATCATCTATGAGTTTATCTTTTCAGCGTGTATGGTTACTGGTCGTATAAGGTGTTCTGGCCTCGATAATGGCGGAACAGGGGTTGTGTTTCGTTCACAAAACAAACGGTCTCGAAGTCTAGGTCAAAGGCGAAAAAAGTAAAGTTCGACGCGCTGGAGCTAGGAGAACACAGCTCAGATACGTCCGCCTGGGCCTCACAAAACGCCAGCGTGGACTTCCAGAGGTGGCAGTGTTTCGGGGAAATAATATCCCATGAGAGAAAAACGGGAGTGGCTCCAAACAAGAACACTACGAGGGGAGTCATTAAAGCAACACCGAAGTGGTGTCGTTCGCACCTTCACACTGCGGGATTTACTGGGAAGGGTAATGAAGCACTTATGGACTGAGTGGTCGGCGTGCAATGAGGATAATGTGTCGACTAACGAACTAACTAACTAGCTTTACTCATTCCACATCACATTTTTTTGTTTGGTTTCTCACGTGACTCGCTGGTGATTAGAGTACTCTCCTCTTTGTTATTTTTAGTAGTAGTATTAGTACATTTTACCCCACTATGACATCACACTAGCGATAAACACCCGATGACACAAAGTGCCACCATGCGGATAAGGATCACCCGTGGAGAGGTCCCAGACACCGCGTTCAGCCATTAGGTCATATTTATAGCCAGGCTGTATTGCAGCCCTTGGCAAGAGCCAGAGTGGGGCTTCGAAATAACGAACGTTTGCATCCGACAAGGGGATGACAATTATAGCGAGCTTTTTTTTTTTTTTTGGTTGAGTTTGTTGATGTCGAGAAAAGCCCCATTGTGGCAGATCTTGGTATACAATTATTGGTTGCGATGTCCAGCTGCCACCGCCGTTATCTTGAAGAGAGCAATTTTTTTGTGTTAGTATCCAGAAGCCATGAGTTGTGTTGGTATTATCGGCATTGATTCATGATTAAATGCCGTAAATCTGGGAAAAATGTGGCTTTTCTGCCTACCCCCGGGCGTGAAATTGGACCACAAGGAGTTCGCCACCCGGTCACAGCGCAATCCGGTTTAGCCAACTACGCTAGCAAGCCGGGCAATCAGATCAATAAGCTGACCCGTTAGGACGTCAAATAGTACCTTGTTGCAGGAATGTTTAAAATCACTTGCAGCAGCAAAGTTCTCTATTTCTGAGTGGAATCCCTCGCATAGATCATACGCATTGATCGCTGATTCCCCTCAGGACTCTCTGTTTGGGCGATATCATCCCAGTAGTAGCAATACCAGCAGCAGCTGTAGTAATGGTAGTGATGGTAGTAGTAGTGCAGGGTAACAGCAGTTCGTAGAATAGTTCGTAGTAGTAGTAATTGAAGTAGATGTTGGTGCTGTTTCTGTTGTTACTTATTGTGGTGATGGTGATAGTGTCGTACTCACTTCAGTTTTGTGGCGATTCAAATCAAACGATTGCAACTTGAAATGCCCCATTCGTTCCTACCTCTTTTTATCCAAAATATGGTTGACAATATTTTATTGTCATTACCTGTTAATCGAAACCTCATGCCTTAAATAGAATTTGAGAAATAAATATTCAATGAGTTGACATAAAGAAAAAGATTAATTTTTTACATTTTT